CAGTGCTCACTGGGTGCTGCTGGGTAGGGGGGATGATCCTTCTGCCCCACACTGCCCAACACTGCATGGGGCAGCTCCCCCACTTACCCAGCCCCACCATGGGTGCCCCACCTGGGCCAGCTCTGGCCCTTTAAGAAAAAACAACAGAGAAAAACCCTGGGACTCACTGCTCCTGCAGTGGCCTTGGAGCTTGGGGGGGCTTGTGCAGCACCCTCCTTGTGGCGAGGGGCAGTGAGTATCTCCCCCCGCTGGCAGGATTTTTCTTGGGTTTTTTTTCTTAAAGGGCTGGAGCTGGGGCAGGCAGGATAGCCATAGAGGTGCTGGGGGTACAAGGGGGGATTGGGGGGCTCATGCAGAGCCCCCCATGCAGTGTGGGGTAGTGGGGATTACCCCCTTACCTGGCAGCACCTGCTTAGTTGGGACTTTTTTTTAAACAGGTGCCGGTGGCTGGGGGAGTTGGGGCAGCCATTGCTGGACTGGGAGAGCGGGCAGGGGATGGGCCTGCCTGATTCAGAGATTTGGCAGTAGCCGAATCTCCAAATCAGATTCAGCCAAATTGAATCAGGAGAGCGATTCGAATCACCAAATTGATTCCTGCCCCCCGAATCAGCCAAATCCGACTCTGAAATGAATACTAGCTGTTTTGCACAGGCCTAATGAACGTGGAGATCGAAATCCAGATCGAAATCCATTTTCCCACCAAATTTGAAGTTTTAGATTGCCTTCTTAGGTAATTGCAAAGTGAACATTTATATAGGAACATGCATCTCAAAACATGATTTAAGCTAAACTTTAAGAAAACCCATTGTTTTATTTCTTCTGGCTCAGACTGTTTTACATGAACTCAAATAATCCTAATTAATTTAACAGGGCTGAATTTATGGGGCTAACTCAAACTGAGGAAAATGTTTATACTGTCACTGACCTGGAACGATATAGTATAACAGAGTCTCTTTTCAGAAAAGGCAGCACAAACTATGTAGTACCTCTATCCCGATCATATAGGGAAGCATATCATATTTTGGCCTCAAATATAGTAACTCCTCACTCTTTATGAATCCTCTGAGGGCAAAGGAAGACAATCATACACAGCTAAGGGCAAAATGTATCTCACTGGTGCTTTTTTCATGGCCATATTTGGGTTTCCTATTAAAATTAGCTCTGAGCAAACACCATATATATGTATCTGGAACATTTTAAATGAGGTATCTTAATGATAGAACATTTTGAATAAGCATTATTTTACACACTAGAAATAATACTCAGGCTAACAAAAAATAAAAGCAAAATAGGGCCTTTCAGTTTTGTATGTTAAGCAGAATAATTCATCATTATCAGAAACAGAGACATTTTTCTTAATGTACTGATGACCATTATACAAAAAAAAAATTACAATGCCAAGATAAACCATGTCAAATTATGTGTTCAATTCTTCTTTTTGCCAGTTGAGTAACATCAGGGGATTTCAAAGTCTTTTAGAAGCACTCCCTCCATTTTATGAAATCTTTTTTTAGCCTCTGAAGTACCACACATCCAAAGAAGAATTAAAAAAAAATTGTATGTCTAAAGGCTCAGCCCAGCCTTCAGTGACCACAAATCAGTTAGTGTACATATAAGCACAAATAATTCTAATTTTGCAGAGCATTTAGTAGTGTATAGCAGTAGATAAAGGAGAACAGGACAGATTATAGATAAGCATGAAGCAAGTACTCAACAACAGCACAAATTCTTCATCAACTCAAATAATTTCCAGGGGGGTTGGGTGAAATTTTCAGGATGGTGAATAATAATTCATTATTATTCTTATTAGTGGTAATAGTAATGCACCATTTGAGTGCCTGGTACTTTACCCAGAAGAGCTTACAAGCTAGACAATCCTTGGGTTTACAAAAGCAAAAGAATGTAAACAAGGTCAGTGAGGACAGCAACTTCAGAAGAGGTTGTAAAAGAAGTGTGCTTAAAATGGAAATTTAAAGGAGGGAAAGGAAGTTGCTTAAAGTACCCACAAGTGATAGGGAATGTCTAAGAGTTATTTATCCCAAGTAATTCTGAGAAAAATTAAAAGCAGTTGAATTCTACACAGCTCCTCCTATAGAGTTGGAATCTCTTCTGTGTGAGGCAATAGAAATATTCCCATGAATGTATCAGAATAGGCAAAAACAGGCTCTTAGACTAACAGATTCCTTTAACTCATATAGCAAGTGCCCAAGCCAACATTCCTATGAATCAGATTTATCAGTAAATAGATATAAGGTTCAGTCCAAGACATATAGGAGCAAATTTTTCAGAAGTATATTCTAGTGCTATATCCTAAATCCAAAAGAAATGGTTTGAATTTTAAAAGTATTTTAGCAACTCCTACTGTTATGATATGATATGATATGATATGATATGATATGGGCTGGTCACTATGGGTGTGCAAAGTGGGCCCTATTTGATTCGGATTTGGATTCAGCCCAAATTAGGGACAGTGATTCGATTCGTTGATTCAGATCACTGTCCCTGATTCAATTTGGCCAAATCTGAAACTGAAGAATTCAGAGAATCAGTAATTCGGACATAGACACAGCTTTAAATGTGTTTTCTACATGAAGGTACCAGCGCAGCTTGTGAACGCTGTAATGCTGGAGCATGTGAAGCATCCCATAGGAGTGCGGGGGGCCCTCCACATGCTCGGTGGCAAACCCAGAAGTGGACCAGAAGTGGATCAGTCCACTTCTGGGTCCGCTGGGGAGTGTGCTGGGGGGCTCCCCCTGCGCCCCTCCGGCTCAGCGATCAGCTGTGGGGAGATCCCAGATGCCCCTCCAGACCCAGAAGGCACCAGTTGCCAAGCCGTTGGGGTGGGGGGGTGGCCCCTGTGCACTCCCGAGTGGACCCGGAAGTGGACCAGAAGTGCTTTTGGTCCACTTCTGGGTCTGCTGCCGAGCACACTGGGGAGCCCCTGTGCTTCTGTGGGACACTCCATGCACCCCAGCATTGCAGTGTTTACAAGCCGCCTGGTACTTAGAGGTATGTAGAAAAAACATTTCAAGGTGTGTCTATGTTCGAATCTCCAAATCTTTCTGAACTCCAAATCAATTTGGAGAGTTCTGATTTGATTCAGAGAGATTAACAGGTCCTCTGATTCAATTCGGATTCGGAGATTTGACCACCAAATTGGGCCGAATCTCCACTGAATCGAATCAGGGACCAAAGCTTTGCACAGCCCTGCTGGTCAGTGCTTCTGAAAATCAGGCATCTTATTCAGGTGCTTAACTAAGTTTCTATGAAGTAGATTTTCAAAAGCACCTAAATTATTTTCAAAAAGCACAGTACCATTGAAAATCAAAGGGATTTATACTCCTAAATTAGGAGTCCCTTTGGGTCTCACAATATGGTGGTAACTTAAGGGATCCACTCTTGAAAATCATGCTAGACCTTTCATAGTAGTCTGTATTCCCCTCATTAGTAACAGGAAAGTAAAATTTCTGCTTTAAGAAATCAGTCAGTGCTTATAGATCAGAAAGGATTGACAAGTTCTGGTTAAGTTGGTTACTAATCCTAATACCTAACTAGAAGAGGAAGGAAGAGAATTATAAGCAACTGGTAAAAATATTTTGATTGTTTATATAAAAATGAAATGCAAAACATGAAAAAGATATAGACAAATAAGCATGTTTCATATATATGGATTGTCTTGTAGAATAGAATCCAGTCGTGTTATTAACCCCAAATAATATTCTGAAAGGCTATCCTGGCAGAGTGTACATCAGCTGTTAGATTACTTCATTCCTTCACAACAGTTGTTCATCTGAAAATAGCTTTCAAATGAAAAGAGACAACTACAAAAGGATTAGTTACCATAGACAGCATGATACTTCCACAATATTATTTATGGCAGAACACCCACCAGAGACAAAGCTGTAAGAAAGTTAAACTGTATGATTAAAAAGAAATATTAGTGAGGGCTGGAGGGACAGTAAGTATATAGTAACAAGCTTTTAGCTCTACCATTTCTGCGTATTTCATCCATAATGGCTGATGCTTGTTGTTTCCGCTCCTTAACCATGGCAGTATGTGATAACATTGTGATTGTCAGATGAGGTTTTCCTTGCTGGAAAAAAAAATGTTTACATTATTGAGCCAGCATGCACAATTCAGTCAACTTTCATCACTTCAGAAAGACTGTAGGGTAAATATGATTATTTCTCATTTGGAAATACTGCCTTTCTAATAGTCGCAATTGCTCCTTGCAAGCAGATGACAGGAAATACCTTCTCTTACCCAAAGATACAAAGTCCCAAAGGATGTGCTGTATGTTGGCTACACAAACTCTATGGCATAACCTCAATGGCGGGGGCCTGGGCCTTCTCATTTCTACATTTTATGGGTTTTATTTTTAAATTTAATTTCATGATTGATTTTTAAATACTGTCTTTTGTTAAACCTTTGATTTATGTTCTCAAAAATGAATAAATTCTGGAAAATTGCTAAGAGCTTGAAATGCTTGGCAGCTTTTGCTTTAGCATCTCTAAGCAAGCATAGAAAGTGGAATCCCCACTACATAAAAATTAGCATTTAATTTTATTTCTGAGACAAGGTGTCACATAAATGACTTCTATGTGACAGCTTGTTAGGACAAACAGTGCCAAAATTTTTCAGGAAACAATACACTTACCCTATTGTTAGGCTTTGTGGTGCAGAAAAAAAGTGAATCCCAACCCTTTTGATGAAGTTTCTGGAGTTATGAATGGGGATGACCCGCCTGGTCCTGGGTGGTTTCTATCCTTGTGCTTGGGTCTGCATGGTACCAAGTACCGAGATAAACTGGGGGCTGATCCTCTTCAAAGAGATTGGCATCCCGCTGACATCAACCAGCTATATATAGAACAAAACACTCCAGCCACTCATATCTTCCTGGCGAAAGAAGAGAACAGAAAGGATTCAACTGCACCCACCACAAAGAGAGTGTATCTTTTCCAGAACTTATTGGGAGATTGTCTTCATAGTTGTATAGACCATCCCATCATCACCTTGGACAACAATAATGTCCGTGTTATAACCAGGGGAGAGACATTTAAAAATAAGGTGATAAATATATGGATGGGCAAGACTATATCTGATGAGAATGGCATGGGCTAATCCTTTAGTGAAAGATAAAACCGTGCCTCAATGGTGGCTGATGGCTAAAGTTAGTGGCAGCCGGCTGATATACAAAGTCTGCTCTTAAAAAGAAATCAGAAACTTTGCAGTGTGATACGTGGTGAGGGAATAGTTTACAATTGGCTTTTGTGTGTCTGAAGAAACAGTGCAAGAACATCTTAGTCACTGTCCTGCAAATCTCCTAACTTATTTAATTGTATGGAAAACTTTAGTAATTTAGAATTCATTAATAGATGACACATCAAGAAAATACCGCATTATTTTATCCCAGGAATTTGTTATACTTATGACGGCAGGTATCACAAAACAACAGCAACCTTTTCCAACTGCAGAAGAAACTTTAATTTTTTTAAAAAGCATGCCTCAAATGTAGAGGGTGAGAAAATAGTGGGAGGTAGTTTGTTTACTTTTGGCTGGGGTGTTATATTCTAAAGAAGTTCTGCAGTCTGTTTCGTTCTCTCACTAGAAATTCAGGTCTTCCTGAAAGACAGAATGGAAATCTTTTAGGATTTTTACATCACAATACAAAAGAAATGAAGCCTGTACAATTGAATTAGGATATGATTTTTATTCAACTATTTAAAAATGTTATATACAATTTGCACATCTTGTGAGCAAGAGGCCTTCCCACTCTTCTAATAAAATACACAGATATGAACTGAAGTCCAAACAAACTCTCCTTCTGGGGCGGATGTTTCTGTAGAAATATAAACATTGGCCTAAACTTTTCTCTTAAGCTGGCTGTTTCTAAGCTTAACCCTGAAGAACCTCTACTGTAGAGAAGGACTCCTTTTTAATCCCCATTTGATGCAACAAAGGCCACCTGCCAGTGTAACTCATTAGTAATTCCCCTGCACTTTTATCCAGGGATCAAGCACCTTCCAGCAGCATGCCTCAACAAGCACTTAAGACAGGAGTCTCTGTTGAATTTTTAATGCATCTTACTTATTCCATTAAAGGCTGGAAGACTAGATTCAACGAGCTCAAGAGTCCTAAAAATCAAATAAAATCAACAAAAAACCACTTTTCCCCTGTAAAACAAGTGTATTAAAAAGTACACTGAAAACAACTTTCTAGCCCCCACTCTCCCCCAAATGTGGGGCAGCCAGTAGGGATGCAGGGCAGCTTAGGCATGGGCTCTGGGTGGCTGTAGTGGGGAAGAGGGGCACATGCAAACAGACACGGTGCCTGCACACAACCAGGATAGCAGTGAGATGGTATGTGGAGCACTGCCTACCACAGCAGGTAAGTTGGGAAAGGGGAAGGGGTGTTGGGGGCGCAGATCGAGGCCCCGAGTTGGGTAGAGGCAGAGGCAGAAGTAGGGGCTAAGGTGAATGGGGTCCTGGGGCAGGCGGTGGGATGCTCAGAGCCTGGGCAGCTCGTCCAGGGGCACGGAGAGGGGCTCCCGCCACTGTATGAACCTCGGGAGAAGCCCAGGGGGCATATGCTCCCTGGATTTTTGTGCCAGGTGCAGCAGAGGCAGGCTGCTGTTGCGGGCTGGGGTCTGTGCCCTGCTGTCACTGCCCCAGGAACCAGCTGCTGCATGCAAAGCCATGTGCCTGCTGCTGCCATCTCCCAGAGCTGGCTCCCAAAGCAGCAGCAGCAGGGTGCAGAGCCCAGCCCAGTGGCAGCCTGACTCCACTGTGCCCCATGCAAAAATCCAGGGAGCCCCCTGCCCCCTGGGCCTCTCCCGAGGTGCGTGCAGTGGAAACCCCTTGTCCCTGGATGAGCTGCCTGGGCTCTGAGTGTCCCACCACCCACTCCAGGGCCCCATTCACCCCAGCCTCTGCCTCTACCCCACTCCCTTCCTCACTGTGGGGGACCTTGATCTACCCCCCATGCCCCTTCCCTCCCCCACACTCCTTCCCCTTCCTCAACTTGCCTGCTGAGGTGGGCAGTACTTCACATGCCATCTGACTGCATGCAGTCTCTGTGTCTGTCTGTGCATGCCCCTTCTCTGCCCCTCCCCCTGCTGCAGCTGCCTAGAGCCCATGCCCAGGTTACCCTGCAGCCCTACCCACTGCCCCGCATTTCGGGGGTGCTAAGCCCTGTTGGCCCCAGTGTTCCTCCACCTATACTTGCGACCCTTAAAAATCATTGTGTGGGTTGAATTTTGCGGTTTCCACACAGTTCACGAAATCACAATTTTCTCAGGACTCTACCCATAAGGGACAAGCCTATAGTGTCTGATGGGGTGCACTGAGGATACCCACAGGGGCGTTTCTGTAGAGTCCAAGAGGGGTGATCCCAAACTGCCAAGAACGGCAAGACTTAGACTTAGGGGCCACAGGGCCTGAAGCTTGGAGAAGGCCAGAGACAGGGCCTGTGGCCCAGATACAGATAGATGCAAAGAGAGAGAGAAAGCGCCCAGGAAGGCTCAGCAGCCTAAGAGAAGGTATAGACAAAGGGTTTGGAAGGCCAGAGAGACAAGAAGCTGGGAACCCAGAAGCTCAGTTCAGTCAGTAGATTATAGTTAGAGGGTTCAGCAATAGCAAAAAGGGCAGAGGCCAAGAAGGCTGAAGCCCAGCACAAAAACAACTGCAAGCCCACTCTAAGACCCTCAGGCAGCCTCCCTCAGAGTAAATAATAACACCCATTGTGGTGGGTGAGGAAAGGAGGTCTCTAGAGTTAGAGCCAGGGCAGGAATTGTGTGGCCACCAAGGAGCATCACAACTACTCCTGGGACATGAACCTGTCACACCACTTTTATTCAATATTTTCATTAAAAACTTGGATGATGGACTTGAAATATAGTTACAAAATATTGTTTGTAGATGATAGCAAGCTGGCAGCCTTTTGGACTACTCAAATACTGTTATTATGACTTAAAATGTCTTGCAGAACAACAAGAAAGTTTTTTTTGCCTCCCTGCCTGCCACCTGACACCTCCAGGGAAGGAATTCTCCCTGATCAACACATCAAAGAGCTACTCAATGCAGCTCACAAAGACACTCTCACGGACCCAGAGGGACAGCCTTTCATCTTCATCTCCCTCTGTGCAAAAATGAAGTTTATTTCCTACCTATGGGGACTTTTTACGATCTTGTACCATCTACACTTTTCCCAGAGCCTGATGAAGGGACTTTGATCCTGAAAGCTTGCAGAAAAGGACAATTTTCTTGCCATTTTCCAGTTGGTCTAATAAAAGGTATCATAAAGGTATAAAAGGTTTTATATATATAAAAGGTATCATATATAAAAGGTTTTGGAACCAAGAGTTCTAGTTTTTTGTATGTCTTGATAAATAGGAGGAATGGTTTGAAATCAATAAGATATGATTAATAATAAAAATGCAAACTATTACACTTAGGCAAGAAAAACAAAATGCACAAATACAAATTGGTGAATATCTGTCTAAGGATATATGTCAGAAAAAAGATCTGGGTTTAGGGATCATGCTGATTATGAGTTAGCAATGTGATAGTGTAGCGAAGAGGCAAATGTGATTTAAGGAATGCATTAATGGGAGAGTCATATGTAATTGTCCTATTCTACATAGCATTAGTAAGACTGTCTGATTTCAGTGACATATCTTAATCCAAAAGGAAATGGGTGGCACCATATCAGCAGGCAGCAGAGCTTAACTTTTTTATACAGAATTTTTTACTGTAAACTGTACACTATAAAGGTTGCACATTAAATAGTCATTTAGAAAGACTGTTCTTCGGCCCAGTCAATTGGGTGCAATTGAACTGGAGCTATACCATTAACTTCAATGGACAAAGGACTGGGTATGTAATGCAGCTTCTCTAGGAGTACTGATAGGCCAATAAACTTTAACTATAGTATTTACAATCAAGAACCTGATCCCTTAACTTACTGAGTGCCCTTTGCCTTAGAATAGTCAATAAAATTATTAAAACCACTGTGTATACGTGACTCTCAGAATGCATATAGTAAGAAATAAAAGTCAGTGAAGGTTAAAGAATTACAGTACCATGGTACAGCATAACAAACCCAAACCAGACATTTCAATGAGAGGAAGTATTATTTAGTTACTGGTGTGTTTGCATGATTTAGCCAGCTTTTGAACAAAGATAACATTTACCTGTCTTCCTCTGGGTCATTTTTATTTAACTGAGTAAAACCTTTCCTTTTAGTATAGCCTTTTCTAGCTCCTTGTGGGATCTTTCTCACCATGGTACTTCCTCTGGTTTGTGTAACTGGCCAGAAAGGAAGTGCAGACTGGAAAGTGGAAAAAAACCTGAGCTACATGCAACCATTTAACTCCTCTATTTCAGTTCTTTCATTTTTTACACCCAGAAGAACTGGTCCTGCAAGCCCTTATTGCAGCAAAACTCAAACTGAATTCTCTAGATCCCTTAAACTCATTTATTTAAAAACTGTGGTGGTGACTCTGGAATACATGTGATAACTCAAAGAGTAAATTAATTACAGTCTTAGGCCAGATACAAACATTGCACATAAACCAGTATAAGCGACTGAAAAACTACCCTACAACCATAACAGAACAAGTTCAGGGCACATAGATTGGTTTAAAAATGGTGCATCCCTATCTAAGGTAGGTCTGGATGAATGAGGTATCAGACTTAATTGATTTAAGTTAAACCAGCCTATCAAAATTCTATACCAAATCCCTTATTGATTTATGTCAGCTCACTGTCCTCCTCGCAGCTCAGGAGGCTTGCGCCAGGTAGCAGAGACTGGGACAC